TCAAGAAGCTGGATGGACACCTGAGGGTTTTGATAATGAATCTCCTTACTCTATCATGTTTGGGCCTGACAAGTGTGGAGCCACAAACAAAGTTCATTTCATTTTGAAACACAAGAATCCCAAGAGTGGCGAGTACGTTGAGCATCATCTTAAGTTTCCTCCCTCTGTTCCTTCTGACAAGCTTTCACACGTCTACACTGCTATCTTGAAGCCAGACAACGAGGTTAGAATTTTGGTTGATGGAGAGGAGAAGAAGAAGGCTAACTTACTCTCTGGGGAAGACTTTGAGCCTGCGTTGATCCCTCCCAAGACCATCCCTGACCCTGAAGACAAGAAACCAGAGGACTGGGATGAGAGAGCCAAGATCCCTGATCCTAACGCCGTGAAGCCTGAGGACTGGGACGAGAATGCACCCATGGAGATCGAAGATGAGGAAGCTGAGAAACCCGAAGGATGGTTAGATGATGAGCCTGAGGAAGTCGACGACCCAGAAGCAACCAAACCTGAAGATTGGGATGATGAGGAAGATGGTATGTGGGAGGCTCCAAAGATTGACAACCCCAAGTGTGAAGCAGCACCAGGATGCGGTGAATGGAAGAGACCCATGAAGAGGAACCCTGCTTACAAGGGCAAATGGAGTGCGCCTATGATAGACAACCCTGCTTACAAGGGAATCTGGAAGCCCAGAGACATCCCTAACCCTGACTACTTTGAGCTAGACAGACCTGATTACGAACCCATTGCAGCCATCGGTATTGAGATCTGGACGATGCAAGACGGTATCTTGTTTGACAACATGTTGATAGCTAAAGACGAGAAGGTCGCTGAGAGTTACAGACAGACAACATGGAAACCGAAGTTCGATGTTGAGAAAGAGAAACAAAAGGCAGAAGAGGAAGCTGCTGCCTCTGCAGACGGTCTCAAGAGCTACCAGGTAAAAACAATTTCCAGCAGAACTTAACCTTTTATTTATAAAACTATACATATATAATACTTACAGATATGTGCATTATGCTGTTTGCAGAAGGTTGTGTTTGACCTCTTGAACAAGGTTGCAGACCTTTCTTTCTTAAGTGCATACAAGTCTAAGATCACGGTAAGTTTCTCCTCCCTCGTTTAATCCATGTTGTTGCATGTTATGATGATGATGATGATGATGATGATGATGATGATGATGATGATGATGATGATGATTCGACCTAAAGGGATTTTGAAAATGGTGTTGTGTTTGTAGGAACTGATCGAGAAAGCAGAGGAACAACCAAACTTAACCATTGGTGTACTCGTCTCCATTGTCGTAGTATTCTTCTCGCTATTCATCAAGCTTATCTTCGGTGGCAAAAAGGTAATTTTCATGGCATTTTAATATGGAAGTAAGTGAAAAAAAAAAGCTAAAAGAAATGAAAATGGTTTGTTAACAGGTGACGCCAACGGCAACTGTGGAGAAGAAGAAGAAACCAGAAGTAGGAGAGAGCTCAAAGAGTGAAGATGAGACAGAGAAGAAGGAAGAAACCGCTGCTCCTCGCAAAAGGCAACCGAGACGTGACAATTAGAAAAGTGGTTTTTTAGAATGACAAAGGAAAAAGAATGTTTTCGAGATGTTTGAAATTATTTTTTTATCTTGTTTTTGATTTAATTTTGTGGGATTTTCTTGTATTTTGGAACTTAGAAAAGAAAGGGGTGAGGAATGTAAAAGAGACGGTTCTTGTTTAGCTGAATTATAGTTTCTCTGGCTTACTTTTACTCATATTAGTTTCACATTCTGAGTGGAAACATTTGGCAAAATGGACTTATTCTAGTTGAGTAAGTTATATGTTCACTGAACTCAATGATGTTTAGTTGTAAGTGTAACTATAGGACATAACAGGAAGCCTCAGTTGAATGTAGAGAGCAAAACAAATGTTAAAAGCCAAAGAAATGGCCTTAGCAAGGACACATAAGCAGAGATGAGCAACATTAATAGAGACCAAGGGTGTTACTGTGTTAGCTCTTTATACCTTCGTGTTTCATTGGCCCAAATTTATTAATCCAAATTGCTAAGAACCAATCATTCTGTTTCATCGTGAATAATGAGCAACGGCATTTATAAACTCGAGTTATAAATCTCTAAAACCTTTTCTAAAAATTCCATTCTAAATCTTTTTTAACTCATAAAAAGGTATAATTGGTTTGTTCAGATTCTCTCCATTACAAGAACACTACATATGTTTGTCTTAGAGAATTTTGCTTTCACAACTTCAAGTAGAGAGATTAGTGATAAAGACCTCTCATCACTAGCTTTTGTCCTATTTCGTGTAAACAGGATCATTACCAAAATAATATCAACGAGAGAAAACAAAAACTTATATTACCCTGTCTGTTTCAATATAAATGTGAGACATGTTCTTCTTCTCTTTCTATTATTGTCTTTAAAGAATCAATAACTTCTAAAAAATTATGTCACGATCACACGATTTCTTGAAAACATTTTGCACCTCTGATGCATATCTTGGTGTTATCTTCCCTACCAATCTTTTGATCCTCATCACTCTTGAGGCAGCTTTGGTAAAAGAAGAAAATGACTATGGTGTCAAGAACCAAGAAGAGAGCATATAAGTAAGCTATGAACGTTCCTTCTATAGCTACCAAGATGATATCTCTATCTCCTTTGTAATAAGACCTCATCACTCTGTATTGAAACAAGGCTTCAACTCCTGATAGGCCAAGATTAGTAGGCAGAGAAAGAGCCAATGCTGTTGAAGTTCTTCCACGAAGCAGAAGACACGCCTTGAGAATCGTTGTTGTGTATCCTCCTGAGGAGGAAGAGGNGTTCCTTCTATAGCTACCAAGATGATATCTCTATCTCCTTTGTAATAAGACCTCATCACTCTGTATTGAAACAAGGCTTCAACTCCTGATAGGCCAAGATTAGTAGGCAGAGAAAGAGCCAATGCTGTTGAAGTTCTTCCACGAAGCAGAAGACACGCCTTGAGAATCGTTGTTGTGTATCCTCCTGAGGAGGAAGAGGACGTTGATGAAACCAAGGCTAAGTTTGAGATGACGTAGGCGTTTGTTAGGAGGATGGAGTAGATAAGCGCTGAGGCTAAGGAGAATAGAGTGTAGAAGTTTCTTGAAGCTATTAAGAACAGAGCAAAAGCAGAGGCGTTTACTGAGAGGAGGAAGAGAGAGTTACAAATGTAAGTTCTGAGAAGACTAAGGTAATAAACAGACATAGAGTCATGGTTGTTTGAAAGGAGTTTGATGATGTAAGCTTTGGAGAAGAGGAAGAAAGTGAGGGAGAAAGGGAGAGTGAGTAGAGAGGAAGAGAGTGTTTGTGAGAGTTTAAGGTTGAAGAAATCAAGAGAAGAGGAGAAACCCTCTCTGTGGAAGAGAGTGCTTAGCCTCAAGTGAAAGGAAGAGGAAGAGGAGAAGAAGGCTTGAGAGAGGAGGAGGGCGGCTGAGAAAGGGAGGACAATGGCGGCTGCGGTGGTGGCATGGTGGTAGTTTTGGAGGAAAGTGTGGATTGATCTTCTCATGATCTTGCTTGGATCTTCCATTGTCTTTTTCATTTTAGTTTTGCTATCTTTTTCTTTCAAGAAGTTGAAGAATGTGTGTTCTTGAAGGATCCACCAATGAGGTTTCTCAAATAAGGTCCTTATATAATACCATATAATTTGTTATTGTTTTTGTAAATTAATTGTGGTTTGGATTGTTAAAGAAGGCAATAAAGATAGGCCAACCGATTTTTCCTGGTGATAAGAATTGATTTTAAACAAATTAATAAAATAAATTTGTATATTTCTTGTAAAAGCCACAAAAAGCAATGTTTTTGTGAGTAGGATACAATTATAAATTATACATAATATTTTCTTGTTAGATTTGACTGGGAATAATGTATAATTGTCTCTTAAGTAATGTTGTTATGATCTTCTGATACATTCTTTTGCTTGTGTGATATGCTTAGTGTTGTAATTGGATTTTGGTGCTTACCATAATCCCAATTGCATAAATGCATATCTACAAATTAAACTGTGGGAGGATGATTCTATGTAGTATTCAATTGAGAGCATAATAATAATATATTTGAGGAATTTGAAGGTTTCGCTTTCAAATAAAATGAGAGAGAAAAAGAAGAGGAAAAAGAAGAGGAAAAAAAGAGAATCAAATTAAAGTTGAGATTGTTAGTAGTAATATTAAATAAATAATGTATTGTAAATTCTAACTATATGGTTCTTAAATTATAATTTTTTTTTACGGTTACACATGCTAGTTTCCCAATACTGATTATCAAAAGGTGACATCTTCTGCCTTCTGGCATGCATTTGGTGTGCAGACTCAATGACTTGGACTTGGTGGTTAGTAGGGGGAGTTCTCCATTGATTGTCTGATTTTTTTTTCTTGGTTGTGATTCTCTATTCTTATCCTCCACTAACAATTTTTTTTAATAAATGGAAGATACTAATAGTTGAGGCATGATCCAACATTATTGAGTTCCATTAGAACAATTAAATTAAAAGAAAAATACTCATTGAATTTGCATATTTGTTTTTCACTTCTAACTGGTTGAAGGGTTAAGCATTGTCTTATGTATAAGTCTACATATAGTTCATGGAGAAAGAAATCTCAAAATGTCTGATATTAGAGGTATCAGTATACTGTACTTTTAAATATGGTAAAATGTCACCAAAAAAGTTTGGGTGTTTGCTGTGTTTAGTACAACCTAACATCTAATACACTATGGTTAGGTGAATAAAATAAACCAATATGTATAATTACCCTCCATGGAAAGGTAAAAAGAGACTTGTGTTCCATAACCTAAAGCTTCTCTTTTTGCTCTGATGGACACAACACACAAGATTGCAAATGCAAATCTTGTTACTGAATAGAAAACCATGTTCATATGAAGAAAATAAATCTGAATTCCAACTGATTTGAAACTAAAAACAGAACCAGCTATTTTCTACTGTCAAGAACAGCAGTTCTGTGTTGGTCTTTCATGAACTAAATGAGTAATCTCTGTTGTCGACTAAGCTCTTCTTTCATATTACATCTTTCATAACAGTTTATTTCTTATTACAGTGTTTCATTGCACAGTGTATGGAATCTGCAGATCCCCCAGTCTACAAGACAATGGTACACACAAGTATATATATGAACTATTTTTGAAACTGTAGACCAACTCTTATTTATCCTGAAATAACAGTCAAAGCAACTCAGATCAAAGAAGTATAGATCAAGACCCATTGAATTTTCGTTTTCAAGATTCAAACATGTGTACCGCAAGCCAAGTATTAAAGATCACTGACCTAAGCTTAACAGAGTATTTGTTTTAGCTTGGTTCTTCATATTACACAGCCACAGCTTCTGGCTTCTTACTGGTCTTGATTCCTTTTATAGCTGCATATGTTTCAAAACAAAGAAAAGTTAGATTACTGACACATAAGCTCAGCAACTAATAAACAACTTTCAAAGTCTTATAGTACCTTCTGCGTAGTCTTTAGCTCCAAATACAGCTGATCCAGCTACTAAAGCATTTGCTCCAGCCTCAATAACCTATTAACACTCACAAAAAGATTCATAATCCAGAGATCTCTATGGCTACAGGAAGAGACTTGAATGAGTTTTAGAGCTTCACCTTGTATGCATTCTTTGGAGTAACACCACCATCAACTTCAATCCATGGGTTTACTCCCTAAAACATACACAACAACCTTTTTTTAAAAACAATATAAAAAGCTTTCACTAGAGCAGAAGTTACTTACTATATCAATTACCTTTTCAACACACATTCTTCTCAAATCCGAGATTTTCTTTACTTGGCTTTCTATAAAGCTCTGTCCACCAAATCCGGGGTTAACCGACATGATCAACACAAGATCCACCACTGATTACATAAACAAAATGATACTCTCATAAGACTAATCCCTCACCAAAGCAAGTGAGACAGAAAAAAAGCAAGTGCAGTGTTTAAAGAACTTACCATCCAATATATATTCTATTGCAGTCAATGGGGTTCCAGGGTTTAGTACAACTCCAGCTTTAGCACCTAAGCTCTTTATCTAAACAACCACACAAGGTATAAGATTAACTGTATGAATAATATTCCACCAAAAGTAAAAAAGAAAGAATAATATCAGTTACTTGATTAACAGTGCGATGTAAATGGATGGTTGATGACTGCTCACAATGTACACTGACTATATCTGCACCGGCTTTGATAAAGTCTGGTACTCTCTGATCCGGCTCCACTATCATCTGTGTTATAGTAAAAAAAAAATAAAAAATCACAAAGTGCCTTGGAACATCAAGAAACCAATAAGGAGAGAGAGGTTTACAAGATGAACATCCAAGGGAAGATCAGTCACAGGGCGTAGAGCATCAACCACAAGAGGTCCAATTGTGATGTTTGGAACAAAACGACCGTCCATTACATCAACATGGATCCAATCACAACCTGCTAACTCTACTGCTTTCACCTGGGAAAAAAAAGCAAACAAATGAGTGAGAATTTGATCAAAACAAGAGGTCATTGGAAGCAATGTTCAAGAAATTGTATAACTAGTAGCTTTATAAAAATTATTTGGGGCTAAGCTTAGGTGTTATCGAATTATTGATTAATTATAAAATTATTATCATGAATTATCAAAGTTGTATATATATAAAACACAAAAGAAATTAGAAAGTTTTATGAATTTATACTAATATTTTGGCTTATTTTCACAGATTTAGACTAATTTAGATCGATTTTAACCGATTTTAGAACAGTTTAAACCGATTTGAGTTGCATTAATCAGATTCGGTTAGGAGGGAGTTGCCGCGTAAACCGATTTTTAGAACATGTAACATTGAGAAGGAGAGAGTGGACAAAACCTGCTCGCCTAGTTTGGCGAAATTGGCAGAGAGAATCGAAGGAGACACAATGATATCACTTTTCGAAAACTTATCAACCCGAGCTGAGGCCTTCACAACACCATGACTTCTCCTTCTGACAAAACATAAGCTCTTGAGTGATCAACAACACTAGTGCAAGAAACTGATAATCTTTACTCTCTCAATCATATCCACAAACACATGAAAGACACTCCATTTAAATAACCAAATTCTATAATGAAGTTTTTTTTTGAATTGTAATCTATAATGAAGCATTACCTGGAGAAAGAAAAGGAAGTGGGTTGGTAAAGGAGTGATCTTTGAGGCCTAAGACCGAACCCACTTACTTGGGTTGTTGATGAACAACACAACGAAACAGAGGATGAGCTCGACATGTTTTCTTTCAGACAAGAGTTGGTGGGTTTTAAGGTTATTAGTAGTGAGAGAAACACCACACCAAATCTTTATATATTTCTTTTGACTCTTCCTCTTCTTCTTCTCTCAAACCCACCAATAAAAATTGAATCTTTTTCAAAAGGGGGAAAATCTGATAATTTTATAATGTTTGGCCACGTGTGATTACGGTCTCGTGGACAACGCCTTCTTCATCTTCTGAATTCTGATCCAGTTGAGTTTTATCCCAAAACGGTTGGCTCTGTATTGCTGACTTGTATATTCATTCGAATATTCCGAAGTATGATTTTGATTTGATAACACTGACACTCATGGTAAAACTGTAAAAATATATAATCAAGTAAATCCCTTTAGTATGGGCCTATTGGGCTTATATGGGCTATTTTAGAGCCCATTGATAAATGATTCATGATGTTAGAATTTTTTTGGATGGTAATGCGATGAAGAAATGTGATCAAGTAAACGACATATGTATAATGTATTTAACATGATTTATGATTAATCAACTGGATGCATTCATATGTGAAGAGAGATCATATTCATTTGGAAGTTGAAAATGATATAAGAATTTCCATATTTTAAAACTTAAGAGATGCTATTGAACACACATGTTTAGACCAAAAGATAAGTTGAACAACACAGGACGGGATCTCCAGCTAACCAATGCTAGCAATTCAAAATAATATTCAAAATATATCAACAAAACCAATCATTTCATTGTTTGGTTGTTAAATTTTTTCCTAAGTTTTTTTGTAGGCCAAGAGTTTCAAATATCATAAAAAAAAATTCATGTAAACACGACTTTATCTCACTATAAGTTTTTTTTGTGTGTCTTATTTGTAACCGATTATACTTTTAGATTGAATACCCTTTTTTTAAGAAAACAAAAAGAAAAGAAAAACGATTAGAAAAATAGAGTTAAGATAATTGGGACTGAAACAAGTTATTAATTTACATTATTAGTGACGCATGCTAAATATAACTCATAATTTAGTATGTCACACTATGCATGAAGTTTTACTTGTTTTCCTTCGTGTGTACATGTAACTATAAACTAATTATTCATACCGATAGGGATGAAAATTAGAGAAGGTAGAAGGTTATGGTGACATATAAAACTGGATATGAAAATTATAAACAAAAACCAGTACAAAAAATTGTTTTATGATTTGCAGTAACAAACTAATCATTGGACAAATTTTTTTTTTATGATTTGCATAAAAGAAAAACTAGAGATCACTGAAATTAAGAGGCGATCGTCAACGCAAGCGACACATCAGTTCGAATGGGGTCGAGTGTGATGATTTTAGTCTTGTAATAAGTGGTATTGTTTCGTGCCTCTTTGTAAGATCCTAGGGGCATCTTTTATGAATCATTAAAAAAAATCATTGAGGGATGAATGTGAGTGGGTCAAGAGGCCATTTACGAAAGGAGAGTAAGACTTCACAGAAACACTGAGAAAAAAACTTATTGCCTTCTTCTTTATTCTGATAGTAAGTGAATTAAGATATCAAGTCCTGTTCCTAAGAGTTAAGGTGTACGTTTTCATGTAAATACAAGTGTAATAATATATATGAAATAGTTCTATATTCTGAAACAATGAGATGTAAAATCATATAAGAAAAAAGAATACTATGAATTGAAGAATCATAGCTAATGAGGTGTTTTTAGGAAAAAAAACAAAACTAGGGGTGATTTTGTTGTATAATAATAGCAGTCTTCAGTTTTTTCACATAAATACTTTATATTATATTTTTAAAAAGTTACAAAAAATTTACTCCTATTGGTGTTTTATAATTAGACAAGATTTTCCGGATTCCAGTTATCTGTTTCACATTGATTTTTGAGCTTTTATCTAATTGTTTATGGACCACAGATACATTTATATTGAAACGTCTTTTTCGTGTGGTCGGTTCCAATCCAACCAAAGATACCACCAATTTCACGCCATGGAAAGTTGGAAAAACACTCTGATATAAAATCATAAAGAAGAGCATGACTGATGATTACAGAATGGCCTTTAACTTTCAACAAAATAACAATGATAATATAATAAAACAACCTTTATTATAATAAATATTATGAAACATTGTGACTCACGCAAATCAATTACCAATTGATCCGCAAGGTACCATGCACGGTGGTTCTCAGTGTAACATTAACCCTAATTATTTAACATCATATAAAACCCTAGGGATTAATAAACAAGAGACCTCGGACATATACTAAAAAATCCAAATAACAAATACATATAGATAACTTTCTCGTTCAGGCAAGTTTCAAACAGTTTGAAACCGTTCAGTTTTGATATGGAGATTCATATATCAAACCACCATGGTCAAGAAGATAATTTGACCAATCCTCGAAGTTACCAATCATATTGTCTTGATCATCAACGCTAGTTGATGAGACTTCTTGGGACACATCGGATATAAGAAGATCATGACCATACTCAACATTCATATAGGGCTCTTTGTTGTGGTCATCTCTCTCCAGTTTCTCAAGAAAATATGAGAAATCGTAACCGTCATGATCCATATCAAAATCAGAAGTAGCATGAACCTCGTGCAATAATGATTGTGAAAAGGGATCGAAGTCAGTGAGAGCATTGGAACTATCTTCTTCATTGCGAGTAGGGAAGCCATTGGGTTCATATGATAGTGTAGTAGCACTCAAGATATCTTTGATGGAAGTTGCCTTAGCCGCAACTTTGTTTAAAAGCCTTGATGTAGAACTTGACTTCTTAATACCTTTCTTGCAACTCAAGGAACCACCATGAACTGGTGCCACATCATTTCTAGTGATCTTGGAAACTGTGTTGAAGCCGGAGGAAAGAGGAAGAGACGTGGAAGTAGGTGCATCTAGGGAATGCAACTTCTCAGGCTGTGTGGTGGCAGTAGGGTTGGTATTAGAACCTAGTGGCTTGTGAGTCACGGGATCAATACCCTGTTCGATCAGACGTTTCTTGAGATGAGTGTTCCAGTAATTCTTTATCTCGTTGTCTGTTCTTCTAGGTAAATGTCTCGCTATGACAGACCACCTAAAGACAAGAATAGTGAAAGAGGTAAGATGGAAGACCAAAGGTAATAGTATAATTTATTTTTAAGTTATTTTCATGGAATAGAGGAACAAAAATGCGGTGTGTTATTGCGAGTTTTAGCCTAAAGTTAATAGTATATATTTTGCATCAGATAAATGTAAAATACATGAAAATAAAATAATTGTTTGTTTTTTTCTAACGAGGAAAAATTTACTTCACAAAACATCTTCAAACTCACTTATATTATACTTTTTCAATAAATGATAAGTATATATACAAAGTCAATATTCAGAATTTTATTGTTCGTGAAGTTATGAATATCAACTTTGTAGTATTAAATTTGTAAAAAAAAAACTTTGTAGTATTAAATTTTTATTAGTGAAATTTGTTTGCCGTTAGTGTAAAAAAACTACAATGATGATCACTGGAGGATCCATACACAAACAATAAAACATATAAACGTCCTTAATTTTTGTTAAAAATAAAAGTTATTTTTTTTTAATTTAAAATAGTTAAACGTACTTATTGCCACGAGCAGCATGGAGCATGATGATAATCTGTTCCTCCTCTGAACTAAACTCGCCTCTTTTGATCTCAGGTTTTAGGTAGTTAGTCCATCGCAGTCTACAACTCTTTCCACACCTTTTCAACCCTAATTAAACACCATATTCTCATCAAAAATTATACAAACAAATATTAAATATACATGTATATACTATATATATATACTAACCAGCTTTTTGGGGAATGTCGCGCCAGCCACCTTCTCCATGTTCGTAGATGTAAGAGATGAGTTTCTTGTCTTCCTCCGTGGTCCATGCCCCTTTCTTCAGCCCTTCTCCGACACAACATGGTTTTCTTGACATTTTCTCGGATATATATACAAACACTAATGTGTAAAAGTTTATGACTTCTCAAACAACACCAAAGGAAATCTATGAAGAGAATATTATACTTTCGGAAACTTAAATCTGAAAGGAAACTTTCTAAAATGGTAAGAAAGAAATAGATCTGGTGATGAGAACTCTGATACATCTGAATATGAGACTAATTGAGAAGCCTTCTTGGGTCTTACCCACAGAGCTGCTAGGTGTTTTCATGTTTTTTGAAAGTAGACTTTGAATTTTTCTTTCTACATATCCATGGAATACTATACTTTTATAACACTATAAGATCAGACTAAAGAAGCTTGTGAAGAAGAGCAGTGAGCTGTGTGATATATGGTGGTGCGCTTACTAGCTAGCTATATTCCTCTATATATATACAGGTACATACTCATGTTTTTTTTTTTGAGAAAGGTACATACTCATGTTAATTATTATAGATATTTTGGAAAGTGAATTATTTATTATTTAAATAGATCAGTTTGTTTAAACTTGCTCGAAATTATTTGATGAAGAATGTTTACAAATCGGTGGGTATACAATTTATTTTATATTTTGGTTAGGGAACTGCGTTTTGGTACTAAAAGAAATGTATAAAAAATTATATAACCTAGTTTTGATTAAAAAAAAAAACCTAAAGATAAATTTACTAGATTCTTGCATATTCATTATCTTAGGACAAAACAAACTGGAGTTGGTTTGACTATAACGTTAAAACTAAAATTTGATTATTAATCTATAACTGAACGGAACGACCTAAATAATCCCATGTGGATGCGTTTTAGGAGAATTGTATTTATATATATCGTGAAAATTTTGTTCTTGGGATTGAGTGACCAAATTTTAGCAAAAAAAAGAGATCGAGGGAAAAAAATGATCCAATGTGGAGGATCGGAGGAGATGAGCTTAAAGTATCAATTAGGGATGGGCGCAAGCCAAATACTTGCCATTTTTGGCGTACTTGGTACTTGGCTTGGCTTGTTCGAGTAATAAAAATTTGGACTTGTATTTGGTTTATTAAAAACGAGTACTTATACTTTCAAGTACTTGCTAAAAAATGGTATACTTGCAAGTACTTGCTCTGTTTTACTACTTGTTGCTTTTAAACTAATTTATAAATTATTATATAATTATTTATAAATTATTTAATAATAGTTTATTAATTTTAGCTATTTAAATATTGAATATGATTTTAAGAAAAAAAGTTAATTATAACTATAATTTAAACAATTTTAAATAAAAAATATTTATTTACTTTTTGTATGTTCTAAATCGATATATGATAAATATAAAATTAAAATAAAACTCTAAAATATTCTCTGTAATATATCATTTTTAGTTTATTTATTTTAAAAACAAGTAATTTGATTATAATTTAGAGATTTTTTTGGTCTAAAAGTAAAAAACGGGTAATAAATCAAGTAATAAGTCATGAGTAACAAGCCAATAACACCAAGTAGTTATTTTTATTTTAGTACTTGTCTTGTACTTGCAAGTAGTTGAAATTAACGACTTGATACTCGAGTTGAACAAAACGAGTACTCGACTTTAAGAGTCAAGTACGAATCAAGTAGCGAGTACAAGCCGAGCCAAGTACGAATCAAGTAGCGAGTACAAGCCGAATATCAAGTAATTGTGCCCACCCCTAGTATCAATAACATTTCTAAGGTAAAAGGAAATCCATACCTGTTTAGGAATATTTCATTATAACATTCATAATTTAGTATTTACTATTTACTTATAAAGTCAAAATCCTCAGAAAGTGTTCTAACACAAAAAGAGGGATATCATTTACCATTACTGACTTGCAATATTTATGCTATGTATAAATATTCAGTTTTATAAAGTATAATAACTAGATATATGAAGCATTTCGAATTTAAATCTAATTTTATAAACGCCAAAAAAAAAAAAAAAAACAGTTTTGTCATGGATACTGCAGAAATAGTGAAACGGGAAAGTGATAGACATTATTGTTGGTCACTGAGAATTGAAGGGATACTGTACCACCACTCGTTATTTTCCACGTAGGTCCCTATTTGTTTGCCACCTTTTTTTTGTTTTGGTAAAATGTTAAGCTGTTTGCCACTTTTGTTGCTGTTCTATTTATTTTTTTGTTTGCCACTTTCTTATTTATTTTTTTGGGAAAAAAAAAGATATGAGACGAACAATAATAGAACAACAACAAAACCAAAACAAGAAACATTTCTTAAATAAACAACACCATATCGTTGGAAGAAAAAAAGCTGCACACCTCCAATCTAGTAAGGACCAGTTTGGATTGCGATACTCATTATATATGATTCAATATGTCAACCAACTTAAGATGATCCCACAATATTCTTCACTTAGGGTATGCCCATTAGAGATTTATGAGGGTATGCCCATTAGAGATTTATGAGTGGTTTATTGCACAGAAACATAGGTGAATTAATTAAAATAATTGACTCAGATGTGATACTGTTTAGCGGAATTGATTAAAATAATTGACCCAGATGTGATATTGTCTCGCAAAAGCTCTTGGTAGTGAACCTGTATCACAATTTTTTTGCGGACCTCACACCATATAACGGCCCACAATTGATCCACTTAATATTTTTTTTTTTTTTAAAAAGTCAAACAAAAAATAAAAAAACAAAATAAAAAAAAAGGTTGTGAACCCCTCATCAAGTTTACTGATGGGGATGATCTTAGTCTTGGTTCCATCTATTAGTTCAATGTCCCATGTCCCAAAATCATTTGATGCGCATCGTTTTTCCAAATGTTTTTCTAAACTTTACACAATAACATATGCTGACGATCACTATGAACAATCTATTAAATATACTTGGAAGCAACAAAATAAAAACAACCGAGCTGTTCAACATTCAATCTCCTCGGCCGAAACATGTCCACTACATTTTAGTATTATGATCTTTTTATCGTGAAATTTTTTAGTGAAGTTGCTTATTCCTATCTTCTTGGACGTGTTGCTTTTTGGGGATTCGTTTGCTGTCATCCACTAAATTTCTCAGTTCTATGTCTCTACCATTTTCGACAATTTTACTTGTTTATTCATAGTTCATATTGTTATCATACTTCATGATGTTACTCTTGTTTTGTTACGGTTGAAAATTCTTATACGAACATATTTTTGTTATATTAATCACCACATCACACGAACTTGAACTTCTTTCGCTTACCTTTATATCGTGATTAAACAATTCTTCACGCCAAATACTAGCTATAGACTATAGTTTTGTTCTATGCCCTTTTTCAAAAAAAAAAAAAAAAAAGTTTCGTTCTCTCCACTATTGATTGACGTAAATTTTGAACTCAGTAACGTTATGAATACATTTCTACTCTGTGTATGAATATACATATACACTCAAACCCTACACTTCTCAATATTGGCTGGTATTTGTTATTTTTTTATTTTTTTCAAACAGGCTGGTACTTATTATAATTGTATTAATATTGGTAGGGAAATTAGTAAGTCTATTGAAATATAATTAAACAGATTCTTTGATATGTTTAGATCTTGGTCGATTGGTAACTGTGTCAATTAGAATGAAATAATAATATTAAAAGAAAATGATTTTAATCCATAAGTTGAGATCATCATATAGACTTCTAGCCTTTTTTTTGGGACCATGGCACCACGTAGCGAAAGCCAAGACGTGAGAAACAACACAACTAACTCATCCAAACAAATAAAACTAAAGAAGTTTTTCTTTTAGATTTTACCTTTATACAATCAGCTTTTTTTTCTAAATAATTATTTTATTTATAAATAAGAAAGGTATGTTACAAAAAAAATATAGAAAATAAGAATGGTATAACTTATATTTTTATTTCGAAAAATAATGACCAAAGATCACTTGTTTCGGTTGCCCTGTCAATTGTGGTTACACTGTTACAATTCTATTTGCTTTCAATAATTTGGATTAGGGATGGGAAAAAATCTGACCCTGAAAAATGGAACCACACCCGACCTAAAAAGGTAATACTGAATTTGAATCAAAATTTGTTAAATATCTGAACGGGTATCAAATTTTGATATCTAGAAAACCAAAAATGAATTCGATCCGAACCAAAATATTTTGGGTATCCAAATATATCCGAATCAAATTTATATTCTCGAATATATTAACTATTTTTTAGATCTAATATCCAAAAATATCTAAAATGTATAAGATATTTTGAAATTATCCAAAATATTCAAAATTATATACAAATAGACAAAAGTAATATCTAAAATAATTAAACAATACTCAAAATGTTAAAAATACTTCAAATATCTATTGATCATCCATCCAAGTATTCAAGTCAAACCAATTTTATATTAAATTTAGGTATTTTGGCATACATTACTCAAATTATATGTTATATCATTTTTATTTCTAAATTTAAGAAATTTAAAGTTTATAGGAATTTTAAACTTTTAGAAATAATTTAAGTGGGTTATCTGAACCCGAACATAACCCGTAAAGATCTGAACCAAATCCAAATCAAAATTTATAAATACTTCAATAGAACTGAAATCTTGAATCCCAAAAATCTAAAATATAAATAGATCAAACCGAATTCGAATGGGTATCCGAACACCCATTCCTAATTTGGACAAAATAGTGTCTTAGGCTATGCCATGCGCATGTTAGGTATTATATTTTTAAATATCAAATAATATAAAATAAGTATTATAAATACTCCAATTAAAATGTATTTTATTATAGTTTATATTAATCATCGGAGGTTAAATTTTTGATGTGCCCATAATTATTTTCACCAATATTTTGATTTAAATAAAACCAAAACAAAATTTATCACTAGTTTTTGGAATCCCCTGATAATGGTACCATATGAAGATTATATCAGTTACACAAGGACATAGTCATCGATCTGTTGGTTCATTCAGACGAAAAATGATGCGGTGTCAATAATGTATACACAATTAGTGAATTTGGCTTGGCTAAACACCATACCATCAAGATCTCCTTTTTAAATAAAAACAAAAAATGAAAAGCATGAAATGATGGAAGGTGGAGCAGTGGGGGTACTCTATAGTAAAGATTCATGTGGTTCTCTAGTCTTTCCATCTTTCCTTTCTTAATAAAGTATATATACTCGTATTATTTTTTTCGTAAAATATAGTCGTATTTTTTGGTAAAATATACTATTCTTCATTTCTATATATATGAAGTTTATCTTTTTTAAGAAATTAGATATATAATGTTTTTCTTTATTACACCAAAACTCAGGGTGACCAATGCATACACTGCACGTTCAAAGCAAAAAAAAAAACTAAATTCAATAATATATGTATATAAGTTTATCTATACTATTAAATCATAATAAAATTTTGGATTTTGCCTTGGGTTTTTATCATATTTATAAGATAATACCAGGCTTTATTTTTAGAATTTTAATAGCACTCTTTATTTATATATATTTTAATTAATTAAATAGCTAAATATTTTCTATATTTATGGTAACTGATCATTTTTTTCTATTTTGTGATTAATAATAATTCTTTTTATCAAAATCAAACTTTTCATTTTGTTTTAATATCATATTTTCGTGCATAATATTATTTAGCGATCAAAAATTAAAAATTATTATTTACTATGTCAATTTATCCATAATATTGATATGTCAATTTATTTTTTTATAAATAATTTTGAGATATAAAATAAATAAAATATAAACTTATCGTAGGTAACTAATAACGAAAAGAAACTAATATTGTTTGAATAGATTTTTTTTTCTATTACCATTATTTCTTTTTTTTCAAATGACAAGAAAATTTGCATTAAAAAATTACAAAAACAATTTTCTTTAATATTAAAAGTATGAATTATTATTTTTTTAAATAAAAAATATATTATCAGTCTTATGGGATTTTAAGCGGATCAAAGAATATCATATTGCAGATTAATATTGAGTTTTAGGATTTACAGGCTTTTATCCAATTTTTAAGTAATAAAACTTTCTTTATGGAATGAATCGGTTTAATTATAGAATTTGGTCAAATATAAAAATACTACGTGAAAATCAACATTATAATAGAACATTTTAAATGTTAATAGAACAAATTTTAAACTTTTTGTGTTTAAATAATTATTTAAATAAATTTTATCAAATGATAAAAATATACCTACACTTTTAAAACGTTGATCAAAATCTAGTTTAACACTTAAATCCTAGTTTTGAATAAGCTAATAACTATAATTATATTAGTTGTTCCATTCCAATTTAGTTTTGAGATTACCTAAAACTTGAATAATATATCACCCGTATCATGTAAAAAAAAATTTACATTATAAATATAAACCACTCAGTTATGTATGTACAATATTATTTCTTTTATTTTTTGGATAAACAACAATCATATACAATTTAATAATACTAATCGCATATATGGCTACAACTATTGGGCCTATTACACTATTATCTAATATTGAGCTACATATTGTGAATATAAACTGTCATGTTTCTCAAAGTGAATCAAGAAGAGCTTAATTAGGACGATGTTGCCATGGCTAAACGTTCATGTGCTTCCTTCTTTAAGTTCTATAGAGGGGAAGAGGGTAAACTATGTAGTTTAAGCTGCACCATTGCTACTGTAAGCAAAATCAGATGATCAAAAAGTTCAAGAAAACATTGGATATGCATATCACAAAAGATGCAGTCTCGGGACACGCAAAGGCTTTAGACAATAAGTAACTCATGGCCTTAGCGTCAGTTTCTTATAAATTTGTAGAGATGATTATTGATTAGAATCTTCTTAGTGTTTGTTATTTTAATTTCACGATACTAGCAATGCCAATTTCAATTAACCTATATATCGAATCAAACTGTACATAGACTTATAATTTGATAATCTTGGTCTTCAAAATTACAGTATTATCTCAAACTTATTAAGAACATGTTTCTAATATGCTATCTGGGTATTGGATTAAGTTCCAAACTCTATCAAGAGCAAGGTTCAATATTATGAATAATTAAAAGGCTTTACCTCAGCATCAAGATTGTAATCACATATGTTGTTACACATCAGATCTGATGATTATTAGAATTCCATCATTGGTAAAGCCTAAAGCATGCAATCAAAAAATTCAGAAAAAAATATTTGTTTCAACAAAAGTTTTTTTTTTTGAAAACTGAAAGGTAAGAGTGATTGTTTAAGCATCAGAGAGATTCCCATTATAGACTTTAGTCAACACAGATGATTTCTGATGTCCCTGTCTGTTTAATCGTCATTTGCAAAAACACAAACCCAGTAAACCAAAAAAACACAAACCTGTGTAAACACAAACATAGACTTTAATCGTCACTTGAAAAACACAAACCCAGTAAACAAAAAAAAAAATTTGAGAACAAAAAAACCTGTTTATAAATAAGGGAAATTTACCCCTATTAACCATAAAAAAAACACAAATTCACTAAATAACCAAAATCACATTTTTTCTCCTCTTAAAAATCTTATAAAAGAACGATGACTACTTCTCTATCTCTTGCATGTCAACCAAATTATCATTAAAACCATTAATAGCTCGGCATGATCCTATCCTCATGTCAAATCTACCAAACCTCAAGTATGAACAAATCCATAGATCAAGATGCGCAATGCTCATACTTCAGATTTGGTAGCTTTGACGTGAGGATAGACCGATCTAATAATGGCTTTAATGATAATTTGGTCGACACGCAAGAGTACGCAAGAGTCAGAGAAGGAGTCTTCACTCAAGAGAGAGTAAATTATTTGATTTGACAAATAAGCCTAGAAATAAGGTACTCATCCCTAATAGAATTTGAAACCAGAAAGAAAAGAAACTAAGATGAAGAAACAGAGTATCAGGGGTGTCATCCTTTTATATTCAGAGATAAAGACTGGCCATTAGGGTTTTGGGGGGTGAGCTATTNGTCAGAGAAGGAGTCTTCACTCAAGAGAGAGTAAATTATTTGATTTGACAAATAAGCCTAGAAATAAGGTACTCATCCCTAATAGAATTTGAAACCAGAAAGAAAAGAAACTAAGATGAAGAAACAGAGTATCAGGGGTGTCATCCTTTTATATTCAGAGATAAAGACTGGCCATTAGGGTTTTGGGGGGTGAGCTATTATAAATAATTAAATATTTATCTACTTTCACTTGTTTCAAATGGGGATGTAGCTCAGATGGTAGAGCGCTCGCTTAGCATGCGAGAGGTACGGGGATCGATACCCCGCATCTCCATTATTTGCCTATTTTTTTATTTGTCAAAATCTATTCTCTGTTTTTATTACCAACACAAGTAATGGGAACCACACATAAATCTGTTACCCTTTTTAGAAGCTGCTGTTATTCTCTGTTGGCTGCAGTAGCATCATCTCTTCATATAGAAACCTTTTTAAAAAAAAAAATTAAGTGAACTAGATCATTACTGCATTTGTCACAACAGGTGAAACCTTTTCACCATGATTAGTATCGGTTCTTATAGTTATTTGGAACTATGTGCCAAGAAGAATCTGACTCCTCTTCAGTGGTCCTTCATCTTTATCTTCATCTTTATATATATTTTTTCAAACATACAAACTTATCACTGATAACATCAAAAAGTCTAGTTTTGTAAAAATAGCATTCAAACACGCATAACTAAACACGCAACTTGAAAATATAGAGAGATGATCACAACACAAGATCCATGATAATCAAAAGATTACGTGTATGCGAACTTTATAAAAACAAAGAAGTAAAGTAGGCTTTGAGGTTTTCATTAGGATGGCCAAATCCATCACCCTCCTTGTAGAACAATTTGATCACACGTGCAGTATTGAAGACTCGCACTAGAATCTGACGTGGTACACTAGAGGATGATGCTTCTTTAAAGAACTCTTCCATCATTATCTCATGTTGATCCTTAATCATCTTCTTCAATACTGTAACCGCTTCTTCTTGACTGACACCATGCTGCTTCATGTAACAGTTGACTCCATTTGCCACCTCTCCTCTCTCCAACTCTTCTTCAAACGTAGCTATGTCGTTAACCAGACGAAACACAACATTGAAAGATAAAATGACTTTTGGTCTAGAGGCAAACCACTCGTACATTATCTTCTCATCACAATTATCTTCCATCCCTAGAAAGCTGTAGACTACCACGTCATCCATTGCGCCTGAGACGATTCCAACATCCATGTACTCCTCAAAGCTTGGCACGTGACCTGCGCGTGCCCATTTTGCTATCTCTAGATACCCTTCCTTGGTGAGACTCTTTATCTATGTTTTTTTTTTCCAATTTAAATACACAATACTGTTTTTATATATTATACACTAGGTTGCATGGAATCGGAAACGGATACGTGAAAACAAAACGTTTCGAAACGCGGAAACATGATTTTCAAAAAAATTAGAAATGGAAACGTTTTAGAAATGTCTATAATATATATATATATATATATATGTGTGTGTGTGTGTGTGTGTGTATATATGTATGATTAATTAACATGTAAGCTTTTTTTGTTTGATTTATCTAAGAGAAAAATTTAAGTAATATAAGTATTTTTTCGTACATTTTATTAAAATTATAATCAATAACTAGAAAAGTAACACATGTTATCATTTGATATAATTATGGAGCGACTTCATTCCAAATCAAATCATTATACTAAAATGATAATAAATATCAATAGATAATATTAAAATATAAAATAATAAACATGTAATCATTAACATCAAATGTCAAATAGTTATTTTTTGCGTTTCTAATTAGAATCGNTTAAAATTATAATCAATAACTAGAAAAGTAACACATGTTATCATTTGATATAATTATGGAGCGACTTCATTCCAAATCAAATCATTATACTAAAATGATAATAAATATCAATAGATAATATTAAAATATAAAATAATAAACATGTAATCATTAACATCAAATGTCAAATAGTTATTTTTTGCGTTTCTAATTAGAATCGTGAGTTTCCAAATTAGAATCGCGAGTTTCCAAATCAGAAACACAAGTTTCCATTGTGTTTCCAAAATGAAATTTTCAAGAAACGTGTTTTCAAAGAGTTTCCTCGAATTTCCAAAAGATTCCGATTCCGAAACGTTTCTGAAACAGAAAACGGACTTTGAACGGAGTTTCCATGCAACGTAGATTATACACACCGTACCATACTGTTTTCTTTAATTAATATCACTTACGTACCTCATCTATAGTCGGTTGCACACCGCCAAGTCTTCCTAGCGAACTCATTTCATGTTCGATGTCTTTCATAGTTTCCCACAAATTACGGAAGATAATTTGCATATAGCTTGGTAGATCTTCAATGTCTCCAATATCCCACCTTAGGCCATGTTTATTGCAATGTTCTTAAGAGGAGGTTATTAACATAATACAAGAATCGTTTTTTAACTTTAACTAAGAAAAATTAAAAACCGTTTCTTAATTCTTACCCAACCATTAGCTCTATATAAGACTCTATGACTATCTAGAGAGAGCTTAAGATAACCGTAAAAATGATTAGGGCATCTGCATTGGTGAGTTTCTCACTATAGTCTTTTACCAATTTATATCAATATCTAAATTTATGAATCTCTTAAAAAAAATTGAGAAACTAATGCTAGATTCTGTCATTCACATGAGTTAATTTCCTAATTAAATATTAATATAATTGGTGAGAAATTTTTATGAGAGATTCACCAATGCGAATAATCGTATACCTTTGCAAAGCATCAGTGAAACTTATAACTTCCGGAAGTGTGCCATAAGCATCATATATGTCATCAACAACCGACATGATCATGGAAATTTTAGTGCCTCTAATTCTTGCAAGGGAATATCTTGGCTCGAAATATATACCCATCATCCCAAAATACATCTCCACAGTTCTGTCCCGAAAACTAAAAGGTAGTTTAGATGCAAGATCCAGCTCCTTCCACCATCTACAATAAGCAAAAAAAAAAAAAAAAATCACATGAAATCTTGATCATGATCCAGATATAACAAAAAAAATTGAGAAATGGCTACAATGATGTGTTACTTAGTGAGAGCTTTGAGCTCTTTTGCGTAATGCAGCTGGCAATATCTTAAATTAAGTTTGGCAAACTTAAGCAGCTTCTCCTCGTGGTCTTCTTCTTGTTCGTAAAATGAGATGTATTCCCTTGCAATTACTATTTCCGTGCAATGATATCGAGGTATGTACAATGTGTTTTGTATATACTTAGAGAGATGTGGATGAGTACTAGTAGTCACCGCCTCCAAGTAATTCCTAGTGAAACTTTGCGCTTCCTCCATTATATCCTCATCTTTTGTTTTGAGAAATGACGCTTGATACAACTGCAAAATTCCTCGAACATCTCCAACAAGATCTTCCCTGAACTTTCCATCATGTTCCCCTCTGAATCTTTTGAACACGTCTATAATGAAACCCAAAATATATAGCCAAATTAAGTATCTATAGACGTGATACAAGGAAATGAATATAACGTCCCTGCTTTGATCCCTTCCATAACTTCTTGGATTTAAGAACTAATTAAAATTTGATATAACTGATTTAAGGTCTAGCATTCTCACACAATTAGTGGGAGTTTTTTCAAGATTCTCACCACAAAACAATTGATAAAAATGAAAAAAAATAAAAGTAATTATACAGATATAGAAACGAGAGAGGAGAGATGAATTTTTTCGTATGATATAGAGGTTGATTGATAAGTGATGTAGATACTTTGGACAGCCATTTTTTATTTCTAGAATATTTTTCTAAAACAAACAAGTTTTACCTTTGAAAATTAAAGTTACAACAAAAAACTTAGAAAATGAAAAGTTTTAACTTTTGAAATCAAATTTTCTTCAGCTTTTATTTAGTACTTTGAAAATAAATCTATAGCAAAACAATCAAAACTAAAACAATAAAATCTACCGTCTATTTTATAAAGCAAAAAAATTAAAGGTATAGCACCAACCAATCAATAACTCTTATAGCCACTCTTATTTTTTAGAGACTGAATAAATTAATTTAAAATAATACTAAGTGAAATAATCAAAATAATCATACTTTTACAGAGTTTTTAAACAATTAACGAAAAATAGAAAAAATAAGTGAAAAGAGAGATAGAGAAGATTGGGAGAAATAGAACAAGAAAAATGCAAGATACCATAAACATATGTCGTCCTCTTTTATTAGTCTAGCCCTTTTTATCTTTTAAAAGATAGCTTTTTATTAACTTTTATATCAAATTCATCATTACTAAATTGTTAGATACTGAAATGGGTTTCTCATTCATTGTCGATGATACTCTTACCGCAAGACATTTTGTGACCATACAACCTGAAAACCTCAAACATAGTAGAGATTGTTTCCAGATCATATTCCTCGGCAATTAAGCCTTCTAACTTCCCAAAAGACTTGTTTAGAATCTCTTCGATTTCCTCTTCGAAATTATGTGAGATCCCTAAACTGATAAGCAAGTGAATGAGACGAATCTTCTCCTTGTCATAGGTGTAGTTAGACATGAGCATATCTTGCACGTATGGCTTCATAACCGATTCAGTATCATGTTCAATTGCATCGAACTCCTACAAAGATATGATAATAAGGAATGCACAATGTCAAACATAGTTAAGATATCATATCTCATTTACTTACAGAACCGTCAAGGGGGACAGAGAAGACGTGATCTCCTAGCAAAGTGGGAGTAAACTGAGCCAAGGGACGAGTACTCTCAAGACCACCTCTAGTAGCCGTTACATAGAACGAATCTTGTTTTGTATGTTTTCGAGAAAGAGTTTGGTTCTGAAGCAAACGGCGAGGAAAAAGAGAAAGCTTAGTTATATGACAAAGAGGGTCTTTGTGATAGTTAGAGAGAGTTTTAGGACCAACACTCATCATCATTCCTGATGTTTGCATTTTTGGACATCACTCTCACATCTCATTTCGCTTTAAATAGAACTGAGATCTAGTGGAGAGGCTAAGCATAATTTTTTGGGGAAACTGTTTTTTTAGACCAAATAGGTTTGGATATTGTCCCTTTAGGCTAAATTATATTTTGTACCAATTTTGACTCTAATGCCCTTTATGTATTTTCAAAATTATTAAAAAAAAAAGATTTATGAAGCAAATTTTTTTTTAAAAATAGTACATAATGATGAAATCTCTATATCTATATAGTGATATTTTTTTCTTGTTTTAAAAATATGTAAATAATAATTTCATATATCTATTCTACCGAAATTAGAATATGTATTCTACGGATTAGAATACGGAATCCACTTTTTTCACTATTTCTATGAATTGCAGAATATGTTTTCTACGGAGATAACATGAATCTAAAATAGTTTGGAATACACATTCCACGCTTATCATATAGTTCTAAAAAGAGTAGAAGTTGAAATCTATATTCGTACTTAAATCTAAGACAAGTAGAAGTCAGAATCTAAATTCGCACAACGTTCTAATACACGTAGAAACTGATTTCATCTCTTTTTACACAGTTCTACGTTTAGTAGAATCTGAATTCTACGGATAAATATTATTAGATCCGAAAATATAGCAAGAATATCTAAGAAAATATTCTATTACCATATTTAAAACTCCATTTTTTTTTTTAAAAAAAGGAAAATTCGATTTTTTAAAAAAGAGGAAAATTCGATTTCAAGATTTTTATTTTAAATTTTTATTTTTTTTTAAAAAAAAAGGAAAATTCGATTTTTTTTTAAAAAAGAGGAAAATTCGATTTCAAGATTTTTATTTTTAATTTTTAATTCGATTTCAAAATTCAGTTTCCTTCGTCTTTTTTTTCCCCGATTTCAAGATTTTTATTTTTAATTTTTAACGATTTTTAAGTGAATTTAAGGGCATTATTGCCATTTAGAAAATATTTAGCCTAATGGGACAATAAGTTAATGAATTTAATCTAAAAGGACAATGTCCAAACCTATTTGGCTTAAAAAAACTATTTTCTCTAATTTTTTTGGTCAACGCTAAGCATAATTTAATAAAGGCAATTAAACTGCTACGTTTTAAGGAAGTTTATAATCAGTTTCCTTTTTGATAGATAAATTTTTAAAATTAAAATAAAGATACAACCTTTCAACTTAATGGGGATTCATAATTTTGAAATTAACGAGGATAGTTATTATTAGTAGATAAATATCTCTCAGATAATAATTCTGACAAATGATTGTACCACTAATTTTTTCCTTTTATAAATTATTGAACACATCTAATGGTTCTATTTACTTGATTAATGTTTATACATGATTATTCTATATATTAAATATGCTAAAAATGATTATTCTGTTTGCAACATGCAAAATCCTATGTTAGTTACTTCCATGATCCAACCAAAAAGTTAGTTGAGATGAAAGATAAGGTAAGCGATTTAAGAAAGAGTTAGTTTACAAAACATAAATAGAATTGTCAGATGTGTGTTGTTTTATTTTCCAACATTGTTTGACACTGAACTCGTGACTTAGAGTAATCAGGTAGATCTATGATCCATCAATAGATTGTCTGTTCATTTTTTTTAAGATTCTTTTTGTATATATTTCCTCTGTTTTTGAAATAGTGTCATTTTACATTTTTTCTAGTTAATTATAGAAAACATGTCATTTTAAAATTTCAATGTATCGAGGTCAATATTAATTACAAACTTACTGATTTTTATAAATAATTTTATTTATCTCAAATACCATTAATTGAATAGCATGGATATAGTTAATAAGAAAATAAATACATTTCAATTTTTTGTTTTCTAATTTTCAGATGTGAATGAATCATGTACTTTTTCTGCGTCCACATTCTACACTTAACCTTCCAACAAAATTAGGAAGAACTCATTCTCTCTCTATATATATTCACTTAATCAGGAATGGTGAATCATTTTAGAGAGATTTAGTGTAATACCCAAGATTGATGCTTAAATTGGTGGTTTATCCATTGATGGACATTAATGGTCCAAGTCATACAATTGCGTCTGGAAATATCCAAAATACCATTCTTTAGCTTACACACTATCTGCTGATTATAGAGAAATCAGACCTATTATTTATACCTACTTTATTTTTGTCCACATGTTTGTTAAACTTTTTTAATGCTAAAAATATTATCAAATAATAATATTTTTAAAAATATAATATAGAAAAATTATAATAGGTAAAATAATTTAGCATTTGATATAATTGAAAACATAAATTACAATTGATTGCAAGATTTCAACATCTCTAAAATCTACAATTTGTTATAAATTCGATATTAGTGTTATATTATTTTTTAACGGTTAACTCATTTTTTAACTAATACATTGTTAGCTGATAAATTTACTCAGTTCGAGAGAGAAAATGAAACTTCGACAATATTTATTTGTTACATATAATACCTAACACATACATTGACATCTACAAAATTGTTAACAATTAACACATTTGTTAACAATTATGGTACATGTATTTGTTAACAGCTGAGACATTTGTTAACATCTACAAAATTTGTCAACAGTGAATGCCTCTGTTAGTACAACTGGTACATGTATTTGTTAACAGCTAACACCACATTATTTTCTATATATATATTACTAACAATACATCTGCTAATATTATATATAGCAAATAATAATTTGAAATCTTAAGATAAAAAATATTTCATCAGATAAAAAAAAGAACAAATAAAAATAGAAAAGAGAATGATAAAAAAATAGATGATGAGAGAATTTGAAAATGAGAAAAAAAGGAAAGAGAAAGAGTATATGGAGAGAAAGTGTCAGGAAAGAGAATGGTAAAAGAAAATCAGAAAATCATTCTGGTCATTAATTTAAAATAGCCATATTATAGATAATTTATTAATTAAGAGAGTGATTTAAGGTGTCTCAGCAAATTGTCTAATCATTCTATACCACCATGGAGTAGTAATATCATGGAAATTTCTGAAAATGTTTTATTAAATTCGGGAAAGTACCAGAAGATCATGAATTGCGAGTTTATCATGCTCTCCTATTCACACTAGCTTCCTTCCCATGTGCAAACCTTATTATGTCAACATTATTTATTAAAATCATGGTATTATGAATTTAAATCACATAATCTATAAAACGAAAATACAACTTCAAATACGATACATTGAGATGATCATGTTCAGCTTTACAAGATGTAGGAAATTGTATGACTATGAGTCTGATATACTAGCAGAGCCAGCCTTGAATAGAAGCAGGTCAAACACATGCTTCCGGACGCCAAATATTAAATTGAAATTCGGCTATTTTTTTTGTCAAAACTTTCTTTAACCTAGTCAATAATTGACTAATGTAAAATTTTGCATAACATATTATTTAAATAAATGAAAGTATTTGATTTTTCATTGGTTGTAACTGAGCTGAAAAAAACAAATTCAATTAAGTAATTTGAAAAATATTTAATATATAAGATATATATATATAGTTTTATTGCGAGAAAAATCTAGATTATATTCTATTAAATGGCTCTCAAACCCATCCAATTGGATAAAAAGAAGATTATTTAATTAAATGTAAATTATATCAAGCTTTTCGTCAAAAAAAAGAAACTATATCAAGCTTCATTAAAATTGATAGTTGGCTGACGTGGATTTGATTACTAAAAAAAACGAAACATATCGACAATTTTAGTCACCAGGCAAAGCAGTGTGAGATAATCGAACTAAATGAAAGAGCAAAATCAAGACTATTAAACTTAGGGTTTGTGCCTCCCTGCATAAGGAAAGCTTGACCAAAGAAAGACCATATCATCAGAGAGATAGGATTCGACTCATTCCATTCTAGTTTTCATCGATCTTATTGTTCTCGATCTTCATTTCATCTCTTATTCTTGTGAAAGTTAGTCCTTATTAATATCAGAGATTTTCTTGGTCGCTTTCTGTTATTCTTGAAGCAATTAGAGCGAATCTTGAAAGATTTTGAAAAGAGGTTTGTTTGGATTCTTTTTTTTTTTTCCAGATTTTTCATTATTTTCCTAGGGAAGTTACCACCTTGTCTTTTGATCTCGCTCTTATTATCAAGAAACAGTTTCTTGGTTTTTGATTTGGATCCAAGTGAGTTCGTATTTTTTTCTCCAAAAGAAACTAAGTTTCTTTTTCTTATAAGATTGTTCAGATATAGGGTTTCATACAGATTCACTAACCATGGCAGGAAGATGGTGAGAGGAAAGATCGAAATCAAGAGAATCGAGAACCTAACGAGCAGGCAAGTAACGTTCTCCAAGCGTAGGAAAGGTCTCTTGAAGAAGGCTCATGAGCTTTCAGTTCTATGCGATGCTCAAGTCGCGGCTATTGTCTTTTCTCAGAAAGGCAAATTATACGATTACACTAGCTCCGAGTAAGTAACCTAACATTGATACAACTTTCAATCCAATTAATACGCATTTATACATATTTACAATCTGCTATTTAGTTTACATAAATGAATCTATTGTTCTTGCTTTTACTTTGCTAGTTTATTTATATATCTCACTAGAGATTTCTAGCCAATAGCAGCTGTTGAGTTTTTAATCTTTCAACAAAATATGCCTTCTTAAAGTTTTTGTTTTTGTCATTTATTACTAGTACAACGAAATTTATTCACCAATTGTTTTTTTGTTAAATTAATTTAAGTTCTTCTTCAAGCACGAGCAATCAATTTAGGGCTTTCCAAAGAAGTGTTCTTGAACTTTGAACCTAGTATGCCTTGAAACTGATGCTGAAACCACTTGATGTTTATAATTATATTGAAACATCCTAGTGTTCATGCCATACTGTTAGAGTACAATTGGACCAATTTAAAAATCCTCCATGATGTATGAGAGAAGACCTTTTGGCTTTTTGCTAGGGTCTCAAACTCTAGCCCTGGATAGCTTTCATGATTTTTGAATGTGTACATTGATCTTTAATAGCCAATAGGTGAGTGAATTTCTTAAACCAAACCCAAAGTTTAAATGAATATCAAACCCAAACATAGATCATAATCATGTGAAACCATATATTAATAGTCACTTGGTGAACTGTACTAATCATCTATTGCCATTAGTTTGTTAGCAAGTTACCAATATCTGCACTTTAGTGGGTTTTGATAATTAACCAACCAAAGCTTTTGGAATAAGAGTTTATGTTTCATTCACAATTTCGAGTTTACCAAGTTTGACCATTTAAAGAACATCGTTGGTAGGCGTGTACATCCTAGCTTATAGTAATGCTTTTGCTATTGAGTTTGTATAACGGTCTTGGTCAATTGTAGGTCATGCTTATAAGTAACATTGGTTAATATAGATAGGAAACCAAGCTACACAAATTAAAAGACATATGTTACTAACACATTGATATATATATATATATATATGTATCTATGTTCAGCTATGTCTTTTGGTTGTGATAAAGATCCCACAATGGAAATATGTAAGGGACTTAAATAATATATAAGAGACTTGGGCCAATCCACTTATCACCAATTGGTTTTAAGTTAGAAGCCCATAATAAACCCGAATTTATCATGGTATCAGAACATGCCCATACCCTGACCCATTAATCCAGCCCGGAAAGTTGCCCGATAAACCATTAGCTGATGGCCCAGAGAAGCCTCAGTTCTATTGAGATTGCTAAAAAAAAAGTATTGTCTCGGTAGGGATAGGATGGATTATGCGAGATTAATGGTTAAACCCACCATTATCTCTAGGGAGGGTGTTGGGATAAAAAAAATCAGTTCTATTGAGATTGCTAGAAAAAAAAAGCATTGTCTCGATAGGGGGTATGATGGATTATGCGAGATTAATGGTTAGATCTACCATTATCTCTCTAGGGAGGGTGTTGGGATAAAGAAGAAATCAGTTCTATTGAGATTGTTAGAAAAAAAACATTGTCTCGGTAGGGGAAATGATGGATATCTGCGAGATTAATGGTTAGACCTACCACTATCTCCAGAGAGGATGTTGGGATAAAGAAGAAATTTATCACTTCTCCTTCAGTAGGTGGAAGGACATATCGAAAACCTTACAATGTAAACATTATCATCCTTCGGATATCGTTCACAGTTTTAACTATACTATTCCCGAGAGAGGCCGTGTCTACAATGTGTATCTAATTTAGGCTCGGAAAATATGCATACAATCCATGAATCTTGCATCATATGTGTGAATGTTCTTGTTGGTCATGATAACATTATCGGAAAATAATTGTATCCTTAGAAATAATATAGTGATGATTGATGAAGCGATCTTGAAAATGAATTCAGCATGCAGAAGATGGTGGAACGATGTGAGATACATAGAAGCGAATATTTTCATTCAGAGAGACTCCAAAAAGAGCAACATGTGCGGGATCTCAAGAATGAAATCACGATTATGGTGAACTCGATTGAACTTCTTCAACGTGATTGCCGGTTAGTTTCTGATATTTCTATATCCATTGCATATATATAATGCAATAGGTGAATCTATATACGCTCATGAAGTCGATATTATGCATCTTAGGAGGCTAATGGGACAAGATTTAGATTCTTGTTCGGTGGAGGAGCTCAAAGAGATGACTATTCAAATTGAGAAAGGCCTCACTATTGTTAGATCAAGGAAGGTAAACTTAATAAATACATAAATAAATAGTACTTGATTTTGAATTCTTTATGTGTTTTTCATAATGTGTTTAGCAATAATGGTTTTATAATTAGGGGTCTTCTAGAGGATTTGTCTAGTTATACATATGTTCTATGAGACGTTCTAAATGATTAGCTATCGAATCAGCATGTGCAACTGCTTATTCCGGATTCTACGATTTTGACAGGCTAAGTTAAATGAAGATGAGGTGGGGAGATTAAAAGCAGAGGTGATTTTACTTTATTACTTTAGGTGTTTCTTTAGGGGCTTATAATGTATAATCTTCATTGTGATTTTTGGGTTTGATCTCATTAGATTGCAGGAAAGAGAGAGCTGTTGAACGACAGAACCAGGCTACACGAAATGGTATACAATCCAAGGACATATGCATGTGTTCATTCACGCACTACATTTATTTAGTCATGAATTTAGCCTTTGCTATCTATATAACTAACTAGTTCATATGGATACTATATATAAGTTAGCAACTCTGAAGCAAAGTTTTCATGATTTTCTCAATTGAATATCTACCTCGAGCGGAAAATACAATGGCGGATTCATTAGCTACGACTGTTACAGGCTTAGAGTGTTACATAGAGAAGTTTATTTTGTTGATAATGTTTTATTTCGGTCTGATTATCAAGATCACTTATAGTCTGAATAACAGAATATCTTTTTCAATTATTTAGTGCTTTGTCTCTTTATTCTTCAATTAACAAAACATCATTTAGTCAGGCATTATGGTGGATTAACTTTTGACATCCATGACTTTAGTCTCATGAAAAATCTTGTGGTGGATTAAAAGTGCTTTGACTGAAATCAAACTTGAGGAAATCTGAAAATGGTCCGTCAAAAACTAGCATTTCACGAACGTTTTGTTTGTTTTCTCAAATTATTGAGCTTTTTTTTTTTGTTTTGTTTAGGAAATAAACTTTTTATCATTTCAGTTTGAAGAAAAGCCCTTGTGGATGCAGTCAAGGAACATAGAGAGTGAGAAGAATGCAGCTTCCTCTGCTTGTGAAAACATGAACATATCCAATGTCGAAACTGATTTGTTCTTAGGATTGCCTAGAAGCCGAGTGTAATGATTTCTTCGTATTCTAATCAAAATGGTTCTTATTTTCATATTTTCATGTATAGTCGATTCTCTATTTGCGTAAAACTAAGAAATAAAGTGATGTATAAGCATCATGTGTTATCTACTAAATAATTTTTTTTCTTTCTTCTTTGTAGACCTTCAAATTTCATTTTTCTCCTTCTGTGATGTTAATGGCATGGTTTTTATATGTCTAACTAGTGCTTTTATTTCATAACACTACTTTGGGCTTTTCATCTCCCACACAAAAATCTTTATCTTAATATCCTATGTTACGCGGAATGAGCTTTACATATACAAATTATTTTACGTATTATTATTATTTTGCATACTTTTACATATTATAAAATAAAATAAATAAACATACATTGAATAATTATGTAATGTTATATAGTTTAATTTAAACGTTATTAAAACGAATATATATATATATATATATGTATGTAATAGATATTCTCATTTAATAGAAAGTCAACTTAAATGTATATATATAAGTTGAATATCTATTAAATGAGATTTTCTACCATATGGTTCTATAATAACTTGTATCATACTATAAAAAAATTAAAGAATTAATCACACAATTTTAAATGTAAGATTTTTAACGATTTTAGTAATTTATAGTTGCTTTCAAAATACAATATATATGGAAAATAATTAATTTTTTTAGATGATTAACTGTGATCGTATAATTTATTTAAATAATATAAAATTAAAAAATAAATAAAAATACATAAATTTCTGTCAAATCTTTTTTGTTCAAAATCATTAGCTGTCACTTCCACAAAAATGGTCAAAATATTTTAATCATATTAGGTAATAATTTGGTAACTTTTTATTTAAGAAAACAAAAATAATTAATTACTACATTAATCAGTTGGACTAAATAATCAGTAATACATATTTAGTGTCCACTCATTTTGAATATAATTTTGTACATTTTTTTTTGTCTTCACTCTCTGGAGCTATAAAAATATCTCGACACAAATCATAAAGTAACATATTCATACAAACATTTCTCGCAGCAAAAGCAATCAATTAAAAAAAAAAAATTCTCTAATTTTTGTAATTCCTTGTTTCTTTTTCTTCATGATGTCTCACACTAGGAGAATTTCTCGTAGTTCTTTGACTGCTGTTGAAGAAGCTGCTTTATGTCTTGTTGCAATATCCAAGGGAAAGAGGCCAGAGAATTCTGAGAACTGGAATTCTATTGATCGTTTGCTAGCGACTCCAAATGGTAAACGTAAATTTTACGAAACAGATTTTGATTCTGATGATGATGATGATGATAAAGATGTCAAATATAAGTCTATGGCTGAGCTTCTCACTTCAAACGTTGAAACCCCAACACACAACAATGATGATGCTGATGAAGCATATTTAGTTGCGAGAGAGAATAAGGGTAAGAAAAAATTTGAGTGTGATGTATGTGGAAAAGTATTGGGTTCGTATCAGGCATTAGGTGGTCATCGATCGAACAAGAAGTGCAAACGGTTGAAGATATCTGAGGATCAAGACGGACGTCACGAATGTGATGTCTGCGGCAGAGTATTTGAATCTGGGCAAGCACTTGGTGGTCACAGGAAGGCTCATCACATCTAATCAGGTTCGGTTATGCTTGGTTAGCCGACTTCAACCGAGTGACATAGAACCTATGAAGTGGGCATGGAGTTTGGGTGATTAGCTGATATGGATGAACAAAAAAAAAAGAATTATGCTGTTTATGTTTTTTTTGTTTTGGACTTTAAGTTTATGTTGTTGCTACCTTTTTAGTTTATTTTCTCTGTTTAATAAATAAGACTTTGGTTAAAGTTTTTGTTTTGTTTTCATTGTCTAATACCCTTTTAAGTTTATTTCATGAAATAACCAAAGTTTGGTTATAGTTTATGTGTGTGTGTCATAAAATTGCTTATCCAGAATATACTTATCTTACAGTTTTATTTTCTACACAATCTTACAAAAAACAAAAATTAAATGTAGATGTAGTGATTTGATGGTGTATATAGAGACTATTCGTAATTTATACTGTATTAGTCAAAAGACTCAAAATAACAAGACTAAACATTAATGGTATATATTATTAAGATTTATTTCGATTTTTATATATTTAATATATCTATATACGTGTCAATTTACAAAGTAGTCAGAATTTATGTTTTTGTTTGACTAAGTGAAGCATATCTAATTATCTATTGGTTACTACGAATATTATAGTAAATTAAAATAGCATAATAAAAATAAATACTGATAGGACTAAGAATATAGGTTGAAATGGAAATATCTTTAATGTCAAAGAAATGAAATCTATATTTAATGTCAAAGAAATGGAAATATCTTTAAACGAAGCATAGCTTAATTGTTTCTTTACATTTATGTTAACATTTTTTTTTTTTTTTGAAAAAGGTTTCAAAAAAGTTGGAGTTCACATGGAAGTGTTTCAAAAATATCTTGGGAAAATTTATGTGATAAATCCTATTAGACTAATGTTCACCAAAAAATCCAAATTTGTCTTTCTAAAATACAATTATAAATTAAAAAATGTACTTACATTTAGATATTATACTATAATAAACTCATATCTACTCTATTAAAATAAATCAATCAATTATCGCCAAATCAGTTTTTCCTAACCCCTAATCTAATTATCTCCGTCCCTCTCTCCCTTTCTCTCTTGGTGGCTACAAAGACAGTTTCTCTCACACGGTGAGTGCTCTTCTTCTCCGGTGTTATTAGTGTGTAACCTGGCTTACATCGTTTCCATGCAGATTACTCTAGTGGCTTATGTGACGGAGGAAGGTGATTGGGGACACTGTTGTTGATGGTTGCAGTCTCGGGAAAAGAATACATGACTGTTCTTCTTTGCAAACACATGGTATGTTATATAAAGTTTATACTACTTAAGTTCTTTTGTGTTGTGAGTTTTGAAGTTTGGTTTATGTGTGTTAACATTGTATGTGTGGTGAAATACGCTAAGGAACTAAGGTTTCAGACAAATTTGTGTCTAGTTTGCTGAAAACCTGTAGAGAGACTTTTGAAGCTTCCCGCTAAAACGGTAACAGCAATGGTAGAAATTGAGATGGAGTTGACAAAAATTTAGTTAAGCAAAATCAACTTGTGTTTTGTAACAATTATGATCTTATATATTCACCAGATCATTCAATATAATATTTCTTCTCTTAAGAGGTTTAAGTTCTTAAAGAGCAATCATAAACAAACACGCAACGAAAGCCATTACAACAAACCACAAAATAGACATACTGAGAAAAAGATCAAAGACAAAAAGGCAAAGGCAAATTGAGTTACAATGGTGTCCAGTTTTCCCACAGTTGATAAACAAAACACTCCTTTAGTTCTCAGAGATTGAAGTATGTTGATGCAGTCTGGTTTGTGGTTCCATGAACTCTTTGTAAGGTCTATTAGTATAAACAAATTGACAGTCTCTAACCACAAGGTGGTGGTCTAGTGGTAGGTGAGCTTTGGGATTTACTAAGCAACTCGGATTTGAAGGCACCCCACTACATCTTACCTTGTGGCCACGCGGATATGGGCCTATCTTACAGCCCATATGAATATCCGGAGTGAGGGTTCATTCGTGGACTGTACCACCCCTTTGGGAATTAGTCTGGGCCTCTCCATGGACCTGTGATACCCCAAGGTTAAAATTTTTTTTTTTGACAGTCTCTAGGTTACATACAGCTGAGAGTTTCAACAAATAAGGAGCAGAAAAATATAGTCCTCTTGAACACGGTGATGAACGCATCCAAGTAGGTTACATTCACTAATCTCAGACATGCTTAAACAACAACTTTTTTTTTCTTATTGTTGTCCGTGATTGAACTAGTTTTACATGCTATTATGCATGGCTGTAAAAGATGTATACACCAGGACACGTTGACAAAAAAAGATTTAAGCGTCTATATATGTTAAGGAATCGTATAGAGCTTAAATAAGAACAAAAATCAAAACCCAAATCTATGCTTATAGTAAAAAGAGAAACGGTGGAACATTCACTGAACCTACAAATGTAAAGACAAAACATGATTGAAGAGTTTATCATCATTTAAACTCAAAAGGATCCGATAGATTCTTCTTGTCCTGGTAGTACTGTCTTGTTTCTGTGTGTTTGAACTGGGATGATGGATATGCATAATGGAGAACACTTTGGGAAATTTTGTGAAAAAATCAAAGAAAAACTTAGGTGGTTGAAGAAGAAAGGCTAATAGACAATTTTTTTTCGTTTATATGGTTAACATATTTGATTTTTTTTTTCAAATAAGAAACAAAATATTTGTTCCCATATTTTCGTAACTATTCATAATTTTCTGTAGATTATACATTCTACTATATGTAGAAACAAGAACACATGTTTGAACTCTGGTTTTACAGATATTAGATTCTGATCGTTTGTAGATTGTGTATTATACAAATTTAGATTGATAGGTTAACCGCAAAATGTGCATTCAATAAGTAGATTATTTGTTCTAATCAAGGTTGATTCAATAACACGTGCATTTCAATTTCCACTAAAGCATTTTTCGTAGAATGTAAATTCTGTTGTCGGATAGAAGAATTTTTTCTAAAACATTTTAAGAACCTAAAAAGATACCTCTACATTGAGTTTTTGATCAAACAAACTTGCATTTGTTTAGGAAGCCTAGACTCCAGAAACAGAGTTCGGGGCATACAAAGCGAGCTCTGATTTTGCCACGGAATCAGCGTCGGAATTAAAATTGCAAGAAATAAAATCGAAAGAGATAACATCAAAGAAAGAGAGAAAGTGATAGATATTAAACATGATACTGAACAGTTCAGGTCGATGCCCTCCTATTTTCAACAAGTTGATCAGAGAAAGGAAATCCGTAAGAACCTCCAGGAGTCGGACGTTTGAGTAAACAAACGGCAAGAGACACCGTGCGATGAACAGCTAAGGCTTCTGCCATTAGAGCTGACGAAACATAACTGAACCCTTCAGTCATTGTAGGGAGAACA